TATGTATTCTCAGAGCTTATGTTAATAGCGATCCGTCAGAAAATACGACATTCTCTTGGTCATTGTTACTAAGTAGACAAACGCAACGAATGCCAGCCTAATAATAAAAACTCATGTCCAAAAGAGTTTTTCATGAGTTTTTAAATTCATGTCCAAATTTTTTTTTTTGTATGAATTTGTCAATTATTTGGTTGTCCATAGAACAAACATATATGACGAGCATTTTTGGCCTGTATGGTCTTTCTGTCGAACCTAACTTTGGTCTATTTTGTTCTGTATATCTCTATTAAATAAATATTAGGCAAAAAATTAATATCGATAAACATAAAAAAATGTAATACAACAAAGTTTATAGAATATTGAGCGAATACTGAAAAAATGACTCATACAACGATATGTAAATATTTTTCTAAATGATTTATTATTCTTGCACACATATTGAAATACAAAATATGGAAAATAGACAGAAAAAGAAGAAAAACTGTAGCCACATATCACAAAAACAGCGTAATAATAATAGATACATCTGAAGAACGACAACAATCAACATCGAGAATGTATTATTGCTAGAGTTTCATTCTCTCAATTGAGAAAATAATTTTTGGTTTCGTTCATCTCGATTCTTGTTTAATGCAAACAATATTTGACTAGTTCACGTTTCTGAATCTGACATGGCGTAGATCGTTGAGTATCTGTTATAACTTATGATACAAATACGACTATTTATGATGAAGCTATAAAACTATTATATCAAATTATGGATGATGTTGGCACAAGTTTAAATGATGCTGTTCTCCGTTTATAATAGATAACATACCCAATCATAGCAAATGCAAGTGATAAAAATAGACATAAAGCAATAATAGCAAATGGTATCCAACTAATTATTATGAATAATGGTTTATCTTGATCCTGTTGTTTTGATTCTAAACGACGTTCAATTGATGCTGTGAAAAAAATTGTAGAAAGTCAGAATCGGTGGTGGTAACTTTTGCATAAGTGTTTGTTGTTATTTCCTTGCTTTGATCGTTATCGTTAACGTTATCAGGATCGACGTCTAGTATTTCTGTTGTTGTTGTTGTTGCTATTGGTTCGGTGGTTGTGGTTATTACTTGCTCTTTAAAATCATTCAGTGGTGGTGATGCCTCGAAGTCAACAAGAACCGGTACCAATGTATCAAACGTATTAACAACGTTTGGTGGTACTGAATGTTCTTCATCTAGCTCTTCGCCATATGGTACGTTTATTCGTTTTGTATCTGGTTTTGTTGATGTAAGCTCATTTTGTGCACGTTGCTGTTCTTGTTGTAGACGTTGCTGTTCTTGTTGTAGACGTTGCTGTTCTTGTTGTAGACGTTGTTGTTCTTGTTGTTGCTCTTGTTGTTGACGTTGAAAATAATCGGCGATAAATGGGCAACTAGAAAATAAGCATCGATCATTTGTGGTTTCTAAACATTGTTTTAACTGTGAACCATCGTCAATGATATTATTTAAAAATATTAGAGAGCAATCACAATCTGGATTCTCTTGTGGTAAATAGACGGTTAAATCGTCCATACGACGTTTATTTATAAAATCGGTTAATAAACAACTTGAGTTCCCTTGTAACGTTGGAAATTGAACATATCTAACATCTAACTGTCGTAATAGTTTTAACGATTGTAGAGAATCTATATCAATCATTTTTAGATATGGACCGAATGCCACAGTCTGAATTTGTTTGACATACTTCAATGCACCATCAGCAATACGTTCAGCATCAAATGACATTGAATTTAACTTTATTATTTTTTCTAGACCCATTAATAATTGTGGTGTAATAGAGACGTCTGGTTGAATGATATTAATACCATTTAACTGTGTATAATTTTCAAATGTGGCTGCTTCCAGTTTTCGTAATTTATGTGCCTCAATAATATACGATTCAACTGGAAATGGTGGAAATTCATCACTGTTCATCGTATCAATCATACGTGTTATTTTGAATGCTTTTATTTTGCCAGTAAATGTTTTTACTAATTCAGGATCATGTTGAACAATGGCACCTTCAATATTCAAATGGATAATATGTGTTTGATTAAATACTGATTCAAATGGTGATGATATACTGTCAGCATAGATTGACAATTCATCAAGATGTAAATTTTCAAATGAATTTGAATCGAATATAATCGATTTTGGTTTAACTGGTTGTAATTCAATTGTTAAACGTGTACGACTACGATTTTGACGTTTTACGTTATCAAATAACGAACGGAATGCCGCAGTATGAGAGTGAAATAATTCAAAATTATGATAACGAAATGTAATGCTAATATAGGAGTTGCCACTATTATCGATTATGTTAGTCAATGATGAAAAGTAGTCGGCTTGTAAGTCGAATTTGATTGAATCAAATTTAAAATCAAGCGTTCTAAAATTTTGTTTTGTTAAATTTTTCACCAGGGATAAACCATGTAATAATGATTTCGATGTGACACAACGTAATTCAGAATAATCGTAACATGTACAATCCATATCAATAATAATATCACAAGATTCGCTACAGATTAATGGTATCCACACAATGAATAGTAATAGTAACATGTTGATATTCAATAATGATTTATGGAAAATAAAAATGGTCATTGTTTTTTCACTTGTCTAAAACAGCGAAAGAAATAATATCGAAATGTAAATGCATATATTTACCATAGTCTTGATATTCAACGATTAACACTTCTCAGAAAGTGATCACAAAGTCAAATGATGAAGTAGTAATTAAATTGTTATTTATTGAAGTCTATCATTATTATAAGACAGATCTTATCTTTGCACTACATACTATCAATCGGTAAAATTAATTTTTTCTCGCTCTTTCTTTCTCTACAGCAGCAATTATCTATCTCCTTTAATACACACCAGATTTCTATCTTAATCAAGATTATAATCAATCTTGACTTAGCGTCATTGAAACCGATGATTTATTTCCATTTCTATTTTTTTTTATTCTTCTTCGTCTTTGTTAAAGAAATAGTGTGTAACGATCTAATAATGTGGATGAAAAAGAAAGTGTGTGAGTGTACAAAATGTCCTCTCTCAGTAGTTATCAGAAATATAGGTCATGGTCAAGGTTATTTCAAAATAAGCGTTCATATGGCTTCAGGCAAAGAATATGTTATATTACATCCTATCATGATGAATCTACTAAAGTTGTGTCAAAATTAAATAATAAATATCTTTCTTTTGTATATAACGGAACGAACTAAAAATAAACTACTTAATGAATTAGTGAAATAGAAAAAGAAAAAAGAGAGCTTTTTTTTTGTTACAAAAAAAGAAAACTCAGAAATGGTAGAAATCGATATTGCTCCTTTTCTCGTAAAGTCTAGTGCTACTACTGTACTTTGAAGAAAAAAACTCACTGATTATTCGTTTGTGTATTCTTTTTGTTATTCTTCATCATTTGACGCAATGATATACCGTCATACTCAACTTTGTATACAATATGTAATGAGATTATGCTCACTTTATTAGTGAATAAAAAGCATGCTTAGAATATCGTTTTGATAATTATAAACTGTATATGATGATAGATAATTGACAATACGAATGAGGAGATAATAAATACAGTTAAAAAAGCATGTAGAAATAGATGCCGTACATATACAAAACAGATATAACAATACAAACTCATGACAATCAAGCATTTTTAACAGATTTTCTTTATAGTAGTTAAACTGTCAAATACATCATATGAAATGAAAACTATAAGTTCTCGAATAAACTACATTATATACTTATAAACAAATTAGAAAAGTCGTTTGAATATATTTCGTTCTTATGCTGTGCTGGAAATATGTTTCGTAACTTTAAAAAGTATAAAGCCCTGTCTCCATAATAATAAGAATTTCTTTGTTAAATAAAGAGGAATTGAGAAAACAATAGATATATATTTAACCATTGGAAACAATTTCTTTTCAGTATTTTATAATATTAAATTTCTTTTTCTTATAATAGTCGATGAAAAAGAATATCATACAATGTGCCATTCTATTCTATTTTCAACTAAGGTTTCCGTTTTCAGAATATGACGCAATAGGTCTGATCACTCGTTATAATAATTGAAATATACTTATAAACATAAATTGACATAATTCTAATACTATTACAGATAATTGTTATTTCAATGAAATATCTTTATGCGGAAATTGAACAGTTAGAAGTCTCATTGCAAATTGGAACGAATATTTATCGTTATTTCAAATAGAAAATTAAATTTATCAAATGTGACTTATTTCAATTTTTCTGTCTCTCTCTCTTTTTCGTACAATAAAACACTCAACTTTCTAACACGTTATAATTAAGATTA